AACGTCGCGGCGGCCCGAGGCGAAGGCGGTGCGCTGGCAGCCGCAGTGGGCAGCGGAGGTGCAGGGGCCGCCCCGTGCGCCCCCGCTGCCGCACGCGCATCGGCCGATGTAAACGCTGTAGACATCCCAGTGGACGGCAGCATCGACGTCCACATGCGGGACAGCGAGGGCCAGCCGGCGCAGCGGCGGCGCCGCATGACGGGAGGACGGATCACTCGCTGGTGCGTCAGCGCCCAGGCGACTCGCGGCAAGAAGGCCCACTGCACCCGCTGCATGGGAGGCTTCGAGGCGGGCGAATGGCGCGTGGCAGGCGCCGTGACGCGCCCCGTGGGCCCCCAGGCTCACGCGGGCAAGAAGTGGTTCCACATGGCCTGCGGGATGGCCCCCTACCACCAGCGACGGCGATGGTGGGCTACACGCAGCTCCCCGAGGGTGACAGGGAACGCCTCACAGCAGCCCTGGAGGCCCGAGGTGGCCCCATCTTGCCCCTGCTGGAGACGGTCGAAGGCCAGGCACCCACCCCTCCCTCCCAGGGAGATGGCGCGGCAGGGAGCGCTGGGGCCGCCCCGAGGTTCCCTGCCGCCGCCGCGCCAGGGGCGTATGGCCCAGGCTCACGAGGGACCCCCTTGTGGCAGCCGAGGCAGCGGCACCGTCCACGGCGGACATCTTGCAGCCGCCACTCGACGCCCCTGCGGACGTGGACGATGACGGGGGGCTTGAAGCAGGCGTCTACGACGACTACCTGGACGATCAGGTGGCGGACGAGGATGCGTACCACGAGATAGGGTTTGTCAATCTGGATTGGTGGGGCGCCATCGGGTGGGACCGCATCCTGCTACAGGGCGCGCCCACCACGGCCATGATCCCCGACAGCATGGCTGCCGCCGTTAGCCACGTGAAGGTGCGGCTGTGCCTAGCGATCGAGCAGGCCCGACAGGGCAGCGATGATCAGGCGTCGCGCACGCTGACGCGGCTGTGGAAGGTGTTCTTATCGTTGGATGGGCTGCTGTTCAGCGAGAACGCGACCCCGACCCCGACGACGCGACGAGAGCGTCTCCAGGAGCGTTTGTAGTGGATTCAGGACGGTCAATGGGATGTGGCCTGGCTCTCCATGGAGGACCAGACACGCACCTCGGTCACCGCGAAGGGCCGCGAAGACCACGTCGCGGCCCGCGTTCGCCGTGTCACCGAGCTCGCGCGAGCTGGCGAAATGTCTCGGGCGGCAGCGGCAGTGTGGCCCCAGGGTGACATGGCGGATGCAGCGGCGGTGGTGAGGAAGTTCAGCACCACCCAGCAGCCTGCGGCGCCTCGCCCAGGCGAATGGGGCCCTCCTCCTGGCACTGGGGCCGCCCCGCATGGGCCAGGGGGGGGGCCCACAGCGGCGGGAGCCGATGTGGCGTTGCCGCCAGCCACGCCCCCTCACAAGCTCAACGGCGCGGCAGAGCTCCACCACCGTGTGGCCAACCACCTCAAGCGTCAGTTTGGCCGCTTCCCCCGCCGCGGCGGGGCGGGGCCAGGAGGAGGACGCTGCGAGCACTGGGCCCCGCTCAAGCACGACGAAGACGGGGCGGAGGCGGTGGCCAACACGCTGGCGCGCCTGGCCATCGGCGACCTGCCCCCCGAGGCCCTAGCCGCCCTGACGGCGGCGCGCCTCGCAGGCATCCCCAAGGCAACCCCTGGGGACGTGCGAGTCCTGGGCTGTGGGAATGTCACCCGCCGCATGGTGGGCCGCAGCGCGGCCAAGGTCCACCACAAGGACATGCGGGCGGCGGTGGGGGACCAACAGTTTGGCCTGGCCAAGGGCGGATGTGGTGCCCTCCACCGACGCCTCTGCACGATGGCCAACTCAAGCCCAGGCAAGTGGGTGGTGGCGGTGGACCTCGGGGATGCGTTCAGCAACATCCCCCGCGACCTCGTGAAGGAGGCCGTGCGCTCCAAGGTGCCCGCCCTGGCGCCGCTGGCGGAGGCCTGGCTCCCTGCTCTCACACGCCATGTGGCGGGGGGTGGGTCCCAACCTGCCCAGCTGGTCGACCAGGTCCGTGGCCTCGACCAGGGCTGCCCGATGAGTCCAGGCTTTTACGCGGTCGGCACCGCGAATGTTCTCAGCATCGGTCGCATGGCCGTGCGTGCGGTGGACGTCGAGGGGGATTGCCTGGCGTTCTTGGACGACACGTACTTCGTGGGCACCGCGGCCGCTGTGTTCCGCGGCTTGGATGCCTGGCGAGCCCGCATCGGAGCCCACGGGATGAAACTGAAGATGTCCAAGACCCAGATCTGGTCACCGGATCCCCACGCTGTCCTGCCGCCGGAGTTTGCGGAGTACGCCCAGTGCCGCGCCCAGATCGAAGCTCAAGGCGGTGGGGTCCACCCTGGCCTACACAAACCACGACGTGGACGCCGACTGGAGGGGCGCCCCGCTCACGGACCTTGCCGTCCCGGAGGACCTCGACGAGGGCGGCCTCGCGCAGGCTGGCGGTGCCGGGGTCGCCCCGGGTGCCGCCACGCCACTCCCCTGCGGCGAGGCCTTCCTCCAGAAGCAGGACCGCTACTTCCGAGAGCTCCTGACGCTCCGCACGCACGGGCTGTCTGCCTTTGACGCCTTCCAGCTGATGCGGATCTGGTCGAGGGGCGCCTGCGTCCACATCCAGCGGGCGCTTCCGCTCACGGCGGCGTGGGGCCGCAGGGTGGATGACGGAGTAGTCGCCTTCGTCAGCGCCCTTCTGGGGGTCACGGCTGCCCCCCGAGAGCAGATATTATTGAAGGTCAGCGACGGAGGGCTGGGCTGTGGCAGCGCCGAGCAGCGCGGTCCTGCTGCCCTCCTGGCGTCCTGGGAAGCTGGGATCCACGCGGCTGCCCAGGAGCTC